CCTGCACAAATAAGACAAGAAAAGATACAATTATACCTCAAACCAGAAAATGAGAACAACACATAAAACACTCTCAAGAATAGAAACATTCGATTATAAAACAAAAAGAAATTTGAAATGACTTAATTCATATAACAATTATTCTCTAATGACAAAGATGAACCTAGGAAATATTTGAAATTCACAATGTGGATTGATATACTTCTAAATAGTTAGAGGAGAGAGAAATAACAAAGGAAGCCAGGAAATGCTTCCATATTAAGGTTAGGACAGAAATTAATGAAGCAGAAAATGCACAATTAGTAAAGAAAATGAATAGAACTGAAAGTTGGTTCCTTGAATGATTTATAAAACAATAAGCCAACAGCTAGATACTGGGCAAGAAAAGAGTGAATGATGCTCACATTATCAACCCTGAAATGAACCAAGAAGCCCTGCTGCCTGAAATAACAGGACCCTAAGAAAATAATGTGAAGCATTTATGCTCCCAAATTAAATTAAACAAATTAGGTAAATTGATAAAAAGTATATAACCACTAAAGTTTGTACAAGGAGGAACAGAAAATCAGAATAGGTTACAGCAAGGGAAAATTTCATTACTAACAAAATTGTGGTAACCTAGAAGCTGTTTAGACAGCCGGTTGTGGAGAGTGCACAGCGGCGGCTTCCCTGTCATGTACAGAAAGCACAGTCCTGAACACATGTCCTGGTCCTCTGTCTTCTACCTGAACACTGACAGCACAGTTAACATGCCAGTGTGGGTAGGGGAACGCTCACGGGCCCCACCCCTGAGTGAAGAGCTATAGGCAATCGTGACTACAAGGAGAGGGAGAGCTGGACTTGTGGAGGGATGCGCTCCCTAATTGTTTATTCAGTGCCAAGTGGTCATCCCTAAGAGCATGTGCATACAAGCGATATTAAATAGACCCATCAAACCATGTGTATAGTATAGAGAGACAACCAGGAAGAGAAAGGGAAGGTAACATCTTGACTGGCTTCTCCTCCCACCCTTTTATTCTATCTAGGACCCCAGGTGCCCCACCCCCACACACACACTCAGGGTGGGCCCTCCTTCCTCAGTCAATCATCTCTGCTAACACCCTCATGAACACCCCCAAGGATGTACCTCCTCGTCCTTTAGGTAATTTTAAGAACTGCGCAGTTGAGAATGGCCAATGTCCATCATAAAATCAACCACTAGAGACACATCTGAGACGCTGTTGGGGTGACTGTGTTTGTTGTGGGGAAAGAAACACCCAATAGCCCAGTCTGTAGATGGTTTCAGATTGGGAAAGAATGCCAGAAAAAAAAGGCCCCGAGTAGCTTGGTATTGTAGGTATCAGGACAGTGGGGGATTCTAATAGGAAATGGAGGTGTGAGGCTCTTCAGAGGGGTTCTATGAAATAAGATGAAGGAATGGGAAGGGAAAACAGGAAGGCAGGGCAGAGAGGGATTTGCAGGCAAAAATCCAGCATGTACAACAATCCCAAGACTAGAACAGAAAGGAAAAGAGAGAAAAAAATGGAATAAGCCACCCTGCAAGGAGCAGGATAAGTGAAATCAGAGAGGCTGCAGGCTGATCTGTGGGGTTTCATAAGCCACCCCAGGGAATCTTGACTTTATTCCAGGTGTTCTGGGAAGTTCCTGGAGTGCCTGAAGGGTGATTGGCTCTGTTAGGCTAAGCCATGTGACACTGCCGCTTCTACACCAAAATCAGAGGAACACCGTCGATTCCAAATGGCTCAACCCTTTTGGTAGCTAACAGTACATTTTCCATTTGTGTTTCCATGGGGGATTCTGTTTACGAGGCTGGAACAGAACACATCATTTTTAACAAGAAGACGTCAAGTAAGTCTCAAATTACATTCAGAATCAAACTAGTGAGATGTCAAAACCAAATGGAGTCTTCACTTTGAAGAGTCACAGCAAATGCACATTGCCAAGGGGGTTGTGGGTCTTCGAGCTGATGGAAGGGCTGCCATGTTGTGGCAAACCGAAACTGATGAAACACCTCTAGCGTTCCATTCCGAGGGTGGAATGGGTCAAGTGTCTTTTATTTAAAATGTAGCCCTCTGGCCTCTTGTGTTTACACTGCACCATTTTTGCTATTTTTTTTGTAGATTATAATATTACAATGTACTTTTAAAACTCGAGACATTTGGATTGATGGGGAGTCACCTGGATTTTTTCCATTTTAAAAATCATAGACTATCAATTTTTGATTCTTTTCTTTCATTTTTCAGTACCAGGACTTGAACTCAGGGCCTCACTCATGCTAGGTAAGCACTCTGCTGCTGAGCTATATCCCCAGCACCCCATTTTATTTGCTACCCTCGAGACAGGGTCTCCCCAGTCTGGCCTTGACTGACTCACTCTGTAGCCCAAGGAGACCTTCAGTTTACAATCCTCCTACATCACCCTCCCAGGTAGCTTGGATTCTAAGCCTGTGCCCCCAAGCTCATCTTGGGAGGGTGTTTTCCTAGAGAGTGAGTGGATTTCAGAGCAGGTCTCAGGTGTTAAACAGAGGTGCTAATATCCCGAGTGAGCCAGCGGTCGGGAAGCACAGCTCTAGACCAGATAGGCAGAGTTGTACGGTTGAGGAGATATATATGGGAGATGCAAAGAGCTTTGGAAATATTGTCAGTAAAAGGAGTTCACAGGAGGGAAACCCTGAAGAGGAGTGAAATGGGGCAAATTTTTCAGCTTGCCTGCCCCTTACTGCCACCTGCAAATTGGGAAGAAGGCCACCCATGTGGAGGAGTGGGAAGGCTAATCAGGGTCCTCTATGCAAGGAACTCAAGGAACCTTGACTTTCAGACAAGAGTCTGGGATCCACCAGGACAACCTGTGTTCAGGAAGCTCTCAGTATGTGAGGCTCACCATCTGTCCCTTCCCACCTTTATACTCAGAGATGTCCCTCTCAAGAGAAAGCAAGGCACAGACTTTTTTGGAATTCAGCCCAGGAGGAGCACAGCTACCCCGACCCTCATGCCCACACACACTCTCTTTGCTTTCACTTTCGAGACAGGGTCTTATTATGTAACCCTGTGGAGGCCCACAGAGGCTTCCTAGTGAGACCTTACTCAAGGTCAGAAAATCTGGGCTAGCTTTACCCAGCAGGACTGCAGAATGGGATGATTTGGACATGGGTGTGGTTACCAGGTGTTTTGAAGGGTCTACACTTGGCTGTATATTGTGCTTTGATCTTGAAAGGGGGAGGTCCTCTTCACATTGTATAAAAAGCCCTTTGGAATAAACCTCGAGGCTACTGGGTATTGACCCAAGGCCCTCCCAAAACTATCCTGAGTCTCTTTCTTATCGTCTCCTTCTATCTTTCTAATACTTTCTCATCCTCCCCCCCCCAAGAACCCTTCAACAGGTCACAGCTGGACTCAGGCCGACTCCCACATAACCCTGGCTAGTCTTGGAACTCACTATGTAGACCAGCTTCTGCCTCTTGGGTGGAATGCTAGGATAAAGGCATGCCCACCATGCCTAGCCACACTTCCCTTTTGGCACAGATCTCCCCCTTTTCTTACTTACTTATCCTATGTGAGCTGAGGAGGAGCCTCTGGAAGCCTGGAGGCTCTAAGTTACAACCCTAAGATCACTGTGACACAAGACCATTTGCGTTTGTAGACAGGAGGCACTTGCAGTTGGCAAAGGTCCCCAGTTAGCAGCAGACGGTAGGGGCTGCACACTTGCAGTCACCTTAGCCTCCTTGCAAAATTCCTTGTGCTCTAGCTGCCTTGGCTTGGAGAGCAGGGTGGTACGTGAGCCCCCATCCCCACCCCATGCTGTCTCCTCGATGTACAGGTGGCAGGACGTAGCTGACCAGCTCCAGTTGACTTCCTGAGATAGGAGACAGGAGCCAGCTTCCTGTGAAGAATAATGGCAGCCATCCTGTCTGAGCAGTTGGAGGATTTTGTGGCTCAAGTCAAATTTAAACAAGTAAAACTGTTTGTTATTGTGAAGGTTATTAAAAAATGTTATTAAGGATGTCTGTGTATCAAGCACGATGCAGGCTTGATAAGCTCCGTGTACTTGTACAATGCGAGCTGACAGAGAGCCTGACATCCCATTATTGGATTTCTGTCACAGACAAGACTATTTTTAGGTCCTTCCATGCAGGACTTTAGATATAGCCAAGAATCACTGGGGTTGAGGAGAGTGGGCAAAGCCTCCTCTCCATTTGCATCCTAAGAGGTGGTATTGGATATGAGTCGATCCAAGGCAATGCCCAGCGCTTCACTCCTGCAGGCAACACTCAGTAATGATACGGGACTGGGTGAGCCTTCAGGATCTGTGATGGTCCTGGCTGCTGTAGTTTCTTGGTGGCCATCCTCAGAGCCATCTCCAGGTACTCAATGGCTTCTCCCTCAGGAAGATAACTATGGAAAGACGTGTTGCAGATGGTTCAAGGGACTTCAGGCTGGTGGACATCTAAGGCTTCTGGGTTCCCTGTAATGGGCTTCTATTCCTTCCACATTTTGACTGTTATTAAAAACACGCCTTCTGTGGCATGGTCACAGATCTCAGCCCTGGTTGCTGGAGAGGTAGGTTTGATCACTCACTGAGTAAGCGGGACAGGTTTTATCTCTGACTTTCACTCTGGAAGCTCTTCTCTGACTTCCTCCTGGGCTTTTGTCATGCCTCTGAGGTGGCTGATTTGAGGTTCATAAGCAACCCCAGGTTGGTGATGGAGAGCATGGCACATGCCCGAGGAAATCTGACCTAGGACTTTCCAGCCTCTTTTGACCTTGGGGTTTGCCCTGGAAATGTGAGGATGATAGTAGATGCCCATGGCTGATGGGGGTGAGTGTGGAGGGATGGCCTGTATCTTTGAGTGTAGGAAAAATGCAGACACAGGTCGAGTCTGGCAGAATTAGGTGGGTATCCAAGCAGTGTCACCGTAGAGAGTCCAGCTCTAGAGATACCACGGAGAGGCTAGTGTTAGACTTACATCCTAGATGGCACACTCGCCTCTGACATGGACTTACCAGCAGCTTAGGAAATGGTGGTTGCACAAGACCCCACTCCAGGGGCCAGGTGCTAGCCTGAAAGACAGCAGGCAGGATGTAGACGTGTGCAGATGGTCCTGGAACTGATGCAGGAGTGGGGGGTGACGCCAATCAAGGATTCTCCTCTTCTTAATTGTGCTCACTGCAGGTCATCTCTGCCTCCTGGGCTGAGTGAGAAGGCTGTGGGGGATTCCAGGGAAGTAGCTCACACTGGTGTAAGTGCACGGCTTCTGTGATAAGAAGAAAGCATCAAGGGGGTTCCTGTAGGCAGCAACAGGAACAGCATGCCCCTCCCCTGACACAGACCTTTCTTCCCCATACTTCTCTCTGCACAGCTTCCATTCCCAGGGACCACATGGCTGGCTTGGCATGCCTCACAGTCTACAGGCACTTAGGGAATTTGTAATCTGCTACTTCCTGAGTGTGTATGACACTTTGGAGCCAGGGCAGATACAAGCACCCAGCACTGACAGCTAGTAGAGGGGAAAGACCAGAAGAAACAGTCACAGAGCTGTAAACAAAGGACTCCAGAGCACTAGGCACAGACTTAGAGTCCTGGAGGTGGACTCTTCTGGTTCAACTCTCAACTCTGCCAATTCCTGGCTGTATGTATCATTTTAGGATTACTTAACATCTTTGAGCTTTAAGACACCCTGAGATTTAAAAAAAAATACATAAAGAAAATGATTTATCTGGGCTTATAGCTTCAGGGGCTTCAATCCATCACGATGTGGAAAGCATGTCAGGTAGACAGGGAAGAGCTAGCCTGTAACTGAAGGGTGTGTAACCTTTAAAGGCCATCCCTAGCAGCCGATGTTCTCCGTGGTGTCTCAAGAGTTTCCTATCCTCCCCGGTTGGGGAACAAGTGTTCAAACACACAAGCCTGTGGAGGATAGTCTATACTCAAATCACAGCAGTGCTTTATCGTGAGCCTCACCCCATAGGCTGGTTGGAAGAACAACGTGAGCTCAAAGCATTTGAAAAGGCAGACGCTGCCTTCTCTGTGCCCTACCAGCCTGAACTGTTGTTATTACCGAGCCCAAAGCGGTCACACAACTCATCAGAGAAGCCTTCTTCCAGAGCAAGCGTGAGCCCAAGCCTGTGGTTCCCAGCCTCAGCACCAGAGGCATGTTCAGAGGCAGGCAGTTCTTTGTGATGTGGAGCTCAGCTCACAGACTACATGACTTTCACCCATCAAGGCTACATCTACCAAGCGGGACTGAATGGTCCCAGCCAAACTTGACAGACATCAGATTAAAAAAAAATAATTCCTCTTTTGACTTGTTATGCCAGCTGGGTGAGTTCACATAAACGTACTATTTACCACATTAAGAACTCAGTGGGGCCGGGCGGTGGTGGCGCACGCCTTTAATCCCAGCACTTGGGAGGCAGAGCAGGTGGATCTCTGTGAGTTCGAGGCCAGCCTGGTCTCCAAAGCGAGTTCCAGGAAAGGCGCAAAGCTACACAGAGAAACCCTGTCTCGAAAAACCAAAAAAAAAAAAAAAAAAAGAACTCAGTGGGAACCATTTCCATCTGGTTTCTGTACCAAGAAAAACATGTGCCGTTCGCTGTCCATTTCAAGATAGCCAGAAGAGATGATTTCTGCTTCTAACACAGAAATGGCAGATGTTTGTAGTGACAAACATATAAATACCCTAATTTGATTGTACATTGTCAAATGTCACATTGTAGCCTGTGAGTTAAGTGAAATTACAATTTAGTAAAAAGTGCATGCTTTTCCTAAACAGTTCATCTATTTCCCTATCAACTATGAGTTAGGACACAGTCCATGTTTCTCTTTACGCTGGGCTCTAGGGAGGCTTCATGCATTTTAGGTCCATTTCAGGCAAGCAGAAGGGATCATTGGACATGAATTAGGGATTGTTTTATCTACCTCTATTTCCTTAAATTTCTTTTTTTAATTTTTAAAAATTATTTCATGAGTGTTTTGCCTGCATGCTTGACTGTACAGCACATGTGTGCTGTACCCTCAGAAGCCAGAAGAGGGCACCAGATGTCCTGGAACTGGAGCTACTGACAGCTGTTAACAGTCGTGTGGGTGCTGGGAATGGAACCCAGGTCCTCTGGAAGAGCAGCCAGTTCTCTTAACTGCTGAGCCATCTCCCCAGCCCCCATCTTCTTAAGTTTCTTATTTATTTTTTTTAATTTTTAAATCTTGTTGTGTTATGAGTCTTATAAGTCATTTGCTCCTTTTAGGAGCAAAGTGGAAACTTAATATATTTAATAATAATAATAATAATAATAACAATAATAATAATAAAGTCATAACTAGGATAGTGGCTCAGTTGGTAAGAGCACTTGTTGTGTAGGTAGGAAAGCCTGAGCTCCATCCCCAGGAACAATGTAAAAAAAAGCCATGTGTGGTGGTGCACACTCGTAACTTCAGCATGGGGGAGTGATGAGTGGGAATCCCTGGGACTTGCGGGCCAGCCAGTCTAGTTGATCAGCAAACCTCAAATTAATGAGAGACCTTGTCTCAAAAGCCAAGATAGATAGCACCTGAGGAACAACCCCTAAGGCTGATCTCTAGTTTTCATATGTATGTGCACACATGAGTACATGTGCCTACACACACAATAATGACCATTGCCTTCTTCACACTGGCCTACTCAGCAGCCAAGCCAGGATGAATAATGTCCTTACACCTTCCAGCTATCTTTGTGCTTGGAGGAGAACCTAATTATCCAGAGTTCTCAGAAGGTCGGTGTCACTGTGTGAGAGCACACTCTCTCATCAGGCACCTTCATCATTTCCATGACAATATGCAGCATTGTGATGTGGGTATAATTACCATTCTAGTGCAAGGCAGGGCACAGAGGACAATGACACAGAGCCACAGAACAGCAGAGATGGATGGAAGGTCACTCTCTGTTCTCAGCAACAGCTTTGAGTCTCCTTGGGAAAGCCAGGTCTGTGGCCCAGAGCAAAATACAGATCTGTAGCACAAAGCAGCCCAGACTTGAATTATTGCTTACATGACGTTCTCTTGGCATTTCAGTTGTCTCCTTTAAATTTGTCCCAGTCTGTAAGCTTCCCCCAGAAAACCAACATCACTTCTCCTAAGGATTCTGCTAGAATGTGTAATGAGATTCCCTTTGACAGCCCAGCGGTGACTGGAGAGCACAGAGTGTGGGGGGCATGCTGGCTATTATGTGATGTTCTACGGTCCATCATCTACCAGAATGTAAATTGAGTTTACATGAAAGACATGTTATCCTCTTCAGGCTCCAAAGGCCTTCCACACAATAGCAGATACACAGGAAAACACACACACACACACACACACACACACACACACACGCACACGCACACGCACACGCACACGCACACGCACGCACGCGCACACATCCATGCATGCACACACATGCATGCATGCATGCACACACAATCAGGTGGCTCTTTTAGTTCTGCTTGGTGTGAACATGTTCCCAAAACTCTCGTGTTGGAAGTTTAATTCTCAGTTATATGTTGATGGTATTCCCAAGCCAGGCCTTTGGGAAGTAATTAAAGGTTAAATGAGTTTGTGGATACAGCTGCTGTGATGGCACTAGTGGCTTCATAAGAAGAGGGAAATGACAGCTGCCAGCAAGCTCTGTACTTACTGGGACAGCGTGGTCTGTCATGCCTCATGTTGTGAGACCGTCCCTGAAGGTGCCTGAGCATTCTCACATCGTATGTGCTGGCTCTTCTATCCTCCTGTTTAAAAATGAGTTCAAGAAGTTTCCCCTTGGTTCAAAGAAAAAAAAAAAACAGATAAAATTAAATACTACTTGAAGACCTAAAGTCTTGAAAAAAATCAAGATATTTCCTGCTCACATTCTGTGGCCAGCTGGGCCTCACTGAGTAGTCCTTCTGCTTCCTGTGGGGTTAGCTAGAGCATCCTCATTCCCAGGGTGGTTCATACATGGCTGGTCTTGGTGTTAGCTGTCAGTGGGAACTTGGCTGCAATCACTGGCTAGTGAATATTGGGTTGGGATCTGGCCAGATTCCAAGAGCCAAGAGCAAAAGCTGCCAGTTATCTTAAATGCCTGGACTTGAGTTACAGAGCATCGCTGTGCTCAGGGGTTCTGGGAATGAACTCCCTGTGGGGAACAGTGGCACATGCAGAGGATGTGGGGATTGCTGGGGAGAAAGACTCCTCTTCAGAGCTGGGGATTACAAATCCTGACAGCATATGTTAATCAGTTTCTCATGGCTGTGACAAAATGCCTGCGCTGGTCAACTTTAAAGGAAGAAAGGTTTAATATTGGCTCAGTGGTTCAGAGGCCTCAGTCTGTGGTTGCAAGGCTATTTTAATAGTGTAACATCCTTCCATTCTGTTCCACTTCCTAAAGTTCCACTACCTTCCAATCATGCCACCAAACCCCCAACACATGGGGGAACCTCCCAGATACATGCTACAACAGCGTGGGGTTAAAGCCTAAGCTAAAACCAGCTGCAACAACATAGGAGAGTCTAGCCAGTTAAGTGGCTGTCTTCTGTCTGCCAGACGGGGGTTAATGTTGGAACTCAAACCTGCCTTAATGAAGAAATGAAATGACCCCATGGTGCAGAGGCAGTGTGGGATTGGAAAACCTTCTGCCCACTCACCTCCCATAGCATCATGCCATAGTTGATATCAGCATCCTTCTGGGCCCCAGTCTGCCTTACTGTAAAGTGGAGTGTTGGCCCTGAGGATATTAGTGATGCTTCCATCTCTAACCTGTGTCCCTCTGTGTTCCTAGGTACTCCTTCCAGGATGAGGAAGACATGTTCATGGTGGTGGATCTGCTGCTGGGCGGAGACCTGCGCTACCACCTACAGCAGAATGTGCACTTCACAGAGGGAGCTGTGAAACTGTACATCTGTGAGCTGGCCCTGGCTCTGGAGTACCTACAGAGGTACCACATAATCCACAGGTAACACTGCCAGTAGGAGGGATGTGAAGGGTGGCCGTGGTAGAAGAGAACTTGTCCTGGTGTGGCTTAGAAGCTGCAGTGATGGGGACAACAGAAGGCTGAATGGCTTTGATGCTGTCTGTACATTCCCAACAGACAGCAGACCACCATGTTGCCTGAGTGGAGATGGACCATGATCACTGTCTGTCCACCATTCTGTTCCATTGGGAGAGTGCAGGTGGTCTTGGCTTCTCTATCCAAAGGTGTTTGGGGGTGACTTCAAGAGAATGTGACTGAGACTGGAGGAGAGATTGTGACATCAGAGGTTGCCTGGGACCCCTTAGAATCTAGCTCAGAGTCCTTAAGGCCCTCTCATTCCATATCCATTCCCAGTTGGATGTGTAACACCAGCTGGATGTGACACCCAGGAAGACTGTCCACGTGAGCGCCACGCTCCAAACAATCAAATGGAAAAAGTAAAGAATCAATGGGCTCTGGAAACATCAGATCCGCAGGGAGGCAGCTTTGCCCTCCTGAGCTGGGAGTGACGAGTCCACCCTTTCTGTCCTTTGAAATCAGCGCTGTGTGTTCCAGAGTCTTTCTTCCTCTTGGGAAGTCGCTGCTGTCTTGGGCTTTAGGTAAAAGCTTGCCATGTCTGCCTCTGTGGGAGACCCTAATCTTCCTGCCTGTCTCCAGCCACACCACAGTGAGGAAGTGGAGTTGGTTTGCCAAAGCAGCAGTTCTGGGAGGGGCTCAGGACAACTGTGGTTGAATTCATTTTGTCTTCTTATGGCCACGGGGAGGAAGTGGAGGAGGGGCTTTAACTGTTGTCACCTGTGGTCACATTGTGTCCTTATTAAGAAGTTTTAGTTAAAAACCTGGAAAAGGCAAGGACTTGGACTTCTTGGTCATGAAGGCATATTAAACACTCCCACCCTCCCAACCTCCCCACAGGAGCCCCCCCCCCACCTGCAACACATACACATCTCTCTTTATTGCCCCTGCCCCTGTTTTTTGGCTTTTTTGAGACAGGGTTTCTCTGTGTAGTCCTGGCTGTCCTGGAAATCACTCTGTAGACCAGGCTGGTCTCAAACTCACAGAGATCCACCTGCCTCTGCCTCCCAAGTGCTGGGATTAAAGGTGTGTGCCACCACATCCAGCTACATTTTTTCCCTTTTAAAATCCCAATTAAATGACAAGAAGGAATGGGTTTTTTGTTTGTTTGTTTTTAATGACAAATTTATAAGGATGGAAAAAACTGACAAGACCATCACAAGAGACTAGAGAGCCAGGAAGATGTGGCGAGATAAAGGACACAGGACAGTGGATACAAAAATTAAGCTGTAATTCTCAGGAAGTCAAAACTGCTGGACACCACAGAATCCCCACAACGCTCAGCCGTCCACAGCAATGGCTATGGAAGGAGGCGAGGGGAGAAAACAAGGCTGGTAACCTCCGGGAAGTACTGAGGATCAGGGAGCCTTGGTTAGCACAGTCGCTCTCACTCCTGACCGGGCAACAAACTGAAGGTGAGTCCCAAGAAGAGAGTAGCAGGGAGGGGCTGGGCCGATGCGCATGCCCGTGTGCAGTCCTGCCATCATAGGGCAGCAAGATCTCCTAGATGTGCACCAAATGCTGAAAGAGAATTCTGCCTGTCCAGAAGGGGTAGCCAGATGCTGCCGCTCCCTTCATTCCCCAAGCAGGAAACACCAGTGACTTCAGTGGGAATGGATTGAGCCAGGAGGAGAGATGGTGACCTCAGAGGTTGCCTGGGATACCTTAGACTCTTAGAGTCCTTAAGCCTCACCCACTCCTCATTAGTTCCCAGCTGGATCCTAACAACGAAGGGTTATCAGATGTCTGGGGAAATCTTCCAGTGTTACAATCTGAGCACCAAGTGGAAGGCCCGTGAGATGGCTGGCTAGGTAAAGGTACCTCTGCTAACCTACAATCTGAGTTCAGTTTTAAGGACCCACGTGATATCAGAAGAAAATGAATGATCTCTCTCTCTCTCTCTCTCTCTCTCTCTCTCTCACACACACACACACACACACACACACACACACACACACTCATGAATAAATGTAATTTAAAAAGAAAAATAACAAGCAAATAAAAAAGTTAAGAGTAACAGGAGTTCTAAAAACATCAAAATAACTATAACCAATATTCTAGATAATAGAGTATTTTTCAGTGTGTATTTTTTTAAAATTCAGAGGTATTTAAAATCTCTGGAATTGAGTTGGTGAGAAAATAAATTTATTTTTTAAAACATATTGATTAAAAAAAGGGACAGCCTAGGGGCAGCATCCACTGGAAGCTTGCTGCATTTCTGCGTTTGGTGACTCATCAGCATCACCTGAAATACAGCACTCCTTTGAGGGCTGGTAGGACTGCTCAGTGGGTAGGGTACCTGCTGCCAGGCCTGACAACCTGACTTTAGTTTCCAAGACCCACATGGGACAAGGAGAGAATTGGCTCCTGGAAGTTCTCTCTCTCTCTCTCTCTCTCTCTCTCTCTCTCTCTCTCTCTCTCTCTCTCACACACACACACACACACACACACACAGCATGCATGCCTGTGTATGCATGCACACACATTAAATTAAAAAGAATACCAGGTTCTGTGGCACATACCTTTAATCCTACTCAGAAGGCAGAAACAAGCAAATCTCTGAGTTCAAGGCCAGCCTGGTTTATATAGCCAGCCAGGGCTACAAAGTGAGACCCATTCCCAAATATTGCTAATACTAATTAAAACTAATACTACTTCATCAAGAAAACAGGAAAGATGAGTGTGTCTGAAGGACTGAGAAGAAAGCCCTTCAAAAGCGCATCTTCAGTAGTAGAAGGCAGCGGCAGCCGGAAGTGTGAAACCTTGAGGGCAGAGGAGTTTATCCACACAGTAGAGTTCAGCTACAGTTACAATCTGAGATATGGAAGGATAAGAGAGGTGGGACAGCGGAAGAGACTTTGCTGTGTTGTAACAAAGTCTCTTAATGTTTTCATGTACACCTTGATACAGTAGTGAAAGAGGAGGTGGAGGAGGAGTTGGAAGAGGAGGAGTTGGAAGAGAAGATGGAGGAGAAGAGAGAAGGGGGGTTAGCAGAGTACTAGAGATTAATCACTGACAGCTGTGGTGCAAGAATTTCATCATACTAGCTTTTGAATGTGGTTCTGGGGTCTGTGTCTGAGCACCCCACTTTTGATAAAGGCTGCTGGGGTGGACGTACCTCTATTGACTGGCCAGGCATCTTTGATGATAACAAGAGGAATTCTTTGTTTTGTATTTCAGAGACAATCCCACTGTGTAGTACAAGCTAGTCTTGAACTTATGATCCTCCTGCCTCAGGCTCCTGGGTGCTGGGATTGCAGGCCTGCAGACCTGCACCACCACTCTATGCTCAAGGAAAGAGCTCCTACATACAGTGATTGGGGATTCTTAAAACCTTTCCTTGTGCTCATTGTGTAGAGTAAATGATCTCTTCTTCCCAAATCTGCACAGAGTCTTGGGGACACTGAGAACATAGGTCCTGAAGTCCCAGAGTGGGACAGGAGCAGGTAAAACAGAACAGGACTGTCTCATTACAATGCTACTGAGCTTCATGAAGACCCCGCCCCCAACTGCTCCCAAGAGAGCAGAGCAGCAGCCACTCCATTGAGTGCCCACAGTGGCCCTGCTCACACCTTAGGAGGGCTCTCCTCTGGTGGCCCTTGGAGACAGAAGATGAGTAGAACTTTAAGCTCCTGGGAGCAGACATTCAGTGTTATTCCAGTATAGATCCTGGAGCACAGCTGGTATTTAATAAATGCATATACTTTGAGTGAATGACCTAAGGAGACCTGAGGAATTGAAATCGTTTGCTCAGGCAGAGGATTTTTCTCCCTGGCAGGCTCCTCAGTAAACCAAATACTAGGGTCCCATTCAGTCAATCAGCTGGTATTTAACAGCACTTTCTGTGGGCCAGATAGTGTACTGGAAATGCATACACTCATAAATGCATGGCCTCCTTCTGTACTTAGACATCACTGAGTGCTCCCTGGGCACCTCCTGGTTCAGAGCAGTCTCCGTTGGTTCAGAAGTGTTCTGCTGAAGCCAGCTCATGATCCTAAGACACCAGTAAGGAGGGTAAGATTTGGCCGTGAGGATTAAGCACACTTTGGAGAAGGGAGGATGCCTTCAGTGTGCTTTACCTAAGTGGAAAAGAGGGCATTTGCTGGTGTGAAGCATTCCAGAGAAATGCTCTCTGAACAGCCTGAATGTGTGCTTGCTCGTGGTAGCAGAAGTCGTGGCAAGTTGGCCTCTGGAAAGACATCTGTAAGAATCAAGCCCCTTTTACATATTCACTGGCTTTGAACAGCAAAGTTCACTTACCGGAATGGAGTCTGAAGGCTCCAGCCCTGCTTGCTTCAAACCAAGAGCTGTTTGGCACAGCGCCCACTTACAATAACCAATCATTTGAGAGTAACCCAAGGAGGACATTGCCTAGTACTATGCTCACCCTTTTAAGAGACTATGAGATTCGGGTGCACCGGTGGATGATGCTTAATCGTTTTATACAATTCAGAGAAGATTACAGCTTATCAATTGCTTGGCTATGTAAAGAAAAGCCTGCCTGCTAAGCGGAGAGCACCAGGAGCCGCTTCCTGGTGCGTCAGGATTGGGGAGAGATTTTGTGTGGTTTCCCTGCTCTGCCTCTTCGATTTTGAACTTCACTTTAATGAGTTGTCATCTCTCTGATGGAGCGGAGCAAAATGAGCCTTCCTGCTCGAGGAGAAGTGAAATCTTTAGACATCGACGGCATGGCTGGCATGTGACCACCTTGGCTTAGCCAGCTGGGACTGTGCAGCTTCTCTCTGCCTCCATTTTGCTGTCTTTGAAATGGGCTTCTGAGAGGGCAGGATGCAATGTTTAATGAAGACCACGTGCCACATTTTGCATAGATTTTCCTGAGTCCTCAATAAGGTCAGTGATAAACACAGGAGAATCCTCCTATTCGGTGTCTCCGACTGTCAGGAAAG